ATAATCTCATTTATGGAAACATTTATTCTAGAAAAAGATTTTTATTTTTTTTCCCCCTCCTGATCTAGCATACGTAATTTCCACAAGCTGCATGCTGTATCTACACTGCTTCCCCCATTTCATTTCCCAGCCTACCAGCTTAATCGGTGAAGGCAATACAGTGCAGCTACCATGATGTCTCTCAGTTGGCATTGGTTTTCCACACACGGCACCATAGTTTAAGAACTGCTACCTTGTCTATTATAAAGCTAAGATCAGGTGAATCACTTTAGACATAGAAAAGACAGCAGATTTGGGAATACACACAAAGCCAACATGATTGATTAAGCAGATGGCTAAGTTGGACTGAAGGGAATAAGAAATATATATATATATATATATAAAGATGGAATAAAAACAGGATTAGCAAGAAATTTTTCACTTTGGATATATAAATCACAAACTTTCTAACATTTTAGACTAAGAGAGCATTACTGACCCTCAAGACTGCAGTGACCATCAGCCCTGCTATTATCAGCATTCGTTAATAGCAGGACAATGATATGTGACACATGGTTCATATGGTTACGTGCACCACATACAGATTACTTTCCAGAATGCAGAAACAAATGTTAAACGGCATCTGCTGAAATATCTTCTAGGAGAGCTTTCTGTATCACAGAGCATGCTTCTTTGTGCATTTTTATGTTTACTATTGCTTGAGGGGTTTTTTGAATGTATCAAAGTCTTCTGCTAAAATATGTTTGACATTTTTTCCTCTTCCAAACATTATTGCCAAAGAATGCTATTAAAATAAAATGCTTATTTAAAAAAAAAAATCCTTTCTTCCCCTCTGCGTATAGTCAGTCACTATTTTGAAAGAGTCTTTACTGAGGCTATGAAGAAAAGAGAAAAACGAAGATGCAATAATCAGAACTAGCGGAATACACTTTACCTCAGGCTCCATCTTTGCTGGGTTTCTGCCCTAGCTGTTGATGGGCTCTGTAACCTCTGTACCCTTTTCTCTACGAATGCTTCATAGCTTTGCAGCTCTGTAATATGTTCTTCCACTCATGTTCACCACTTCAAATGGCGAACTCTGTAATGTCTGCAACCCCTTCTCATCTTTACGTTCAGTATGGGGGCACATGTTTCCATGTTGGCACTCAAAAATTTGCTGGAAAAATGAACTCCACGGAGGAATTGTAAGTCATCTGAAAAAAAGTACTTCTTTTAGGTCATTTAAAAATTCTTGCTCCATAACTTCATGTGCTCCCCTTTCATTCTCGGTTATGAAAACTAAGACATAATCATTTCCTATCTGCCTTCTTTGTACCATCACAGTTTCATAAACCGTTAACATATTCCTCCTCAGCCATCTGTTTTTCAAACTGAAGAGCCTCAGCTTATTTAATCTCTCTTCATACAGAAGGTGTTCCAAATTCCTGCTTATCCTAGTCACCCTTCTTTGTATCACTACTATATCCTTTTAGAGACAGTAGGACTAGAAATGCATGGTATCCAAGATCTGTGGAGGCACAATGGACATATTCAGCAGAATGCCGTTTCTATTTTGCTTTCTTTCATTTCCTTTCATAGCATTTCCTAACATCTTATTTCCCTTTTTGACTGCCACTACATTAGCAGTTTCTTAAAAAATATAGACAGTGACTCCCCTTCCCTCCACCCCCCCCTCTATTTTCTGAATAACTGATTGAAAGACTATTATTGCAAATTATTTGCTTTTGCCTCTCACTAAAAGTACATCAGGAATTTTGCCAGTACTTGTCTGGGCACAACTCAGACCAAGGAACTTGATGACTGTTGGGTAACATCTGAAGCTTAGCTTCAAATATATGTAGAGTCATGCTTGCAGTGTCACCCAAGGTCTCCTGAAAGTGTGCTAAAGACATTCAGGGAACAATGTGACTGAAGCAGTCTGCTAGTTAATGCAACCTCTCAACAGCAGAGGAAAATATAGTGAAAAAGGGTGATTATTTTTAAGGGTGTCAGACAGTAAAAGACTGTCCTTGCTAACCTAAGTAGAACAAAATGAGTTTGCTAGAGGAAAAGCCCCAGCAACAGAAGTGGTGTGACTTAATATCCCGGACATTAGGGCTATTGAGCACGTCTCAAAACTCAGTGTGACCATATGTACAGATAACAATTTAATATTTACCATCAGTTCTTGGCACTAGGCAGGAATTATTTAAGAAATACAATGTCAATGCAGTAGTGTGTCATTAATACTTCATTCCCTTTCTTTAGAATTCTATAAAGAAATTCTAATAAATGGAACAAAGATTACCAGATTATTTTTTTCTTCTGTTTCAGTGTAGATATTCACTACATTTTTTAGAAAGGTTGTTAGAAATTAAGGAGATCTACAGAAAATAAAGGCATTGTGTCCATATACCTTAGTCAACTCATTTTAATCCACTTCTTCATTCTATTCATCTGGTATCGAAAGGCAATATTTACTTACATAACTCAGGAGTGCTGTGAGTGATAATTAATGCTTATAGGAAGTGGTATGATTGAAATGAAGATGTACTTCCAAAGCATTATTAATTTTATTATCATCATTATTACTCTACTGGGCTATTGTAAATTACTGAAAGAGCCAATTACCATGGATTTTCCCAAGATGACTTCGTAAGGTATTAAAAGGAGAATGTTACACTGCAGAAAACTACAATGAAGTTGTAAAGCTGAGATTACAGTCTATGCTGTACAATGGTGTCATCCATGCTGGAAGCAAAAAAAAAGTCAAAATAATTTGTAAGTGCCAATTAAAACAAAAATGTACTAATCTGTCCTTTACCTTGTGGATACAGTGACTCCTTTACTGCTGGCTGAAAAGTTCCCACCTCCACCGCAATGACATTTAACTCATATGCCAGAAATGTTTGTAATTTCAGAAAAAAAGGTCATGGTCATGATTATAAGCAACTGGGTTTCTGAAGTTTAATGAGGACCCACTTATCAACTGAGCTGCTGAATATGATGGTGAGGAAGCTCCCACCGCTGAGAACATGAGCACAGGTCAGCTCCTGTGGTCCAGCTGGCAATGAGACTTGGCTGCCCCATGGCTGGAAGCAGGCATGTGTGCAGAGTGTGACGAACTGCAGCACAGCTGGATCAAGAGATGCCTGGCAATAAGGCTTCCAGCTATGGGTTCTTATCCTCTGTGTTATAGGATACCTTCCTCAGGTAAAGCAATCTGCCTGCATCACTGTGCTCTAAAGTGTGCTGTGAAATGAATCCAATTAAAATCTGCACTAACAACATTGTTTGGGGAAAGAGAGTTTTTGAAAATAGAGATCATTTATAAAGCTGGTTTGGAATATGGCTAAACCTCGAGATTGTCCCCATGAAGATTTAAAACAGTTTTGTTAATACTCACTTTAATTGGTTATTTGGATTAATATTCTTGAATTTCCCATGAACACAAACCAAATTATACTGTGAAGAAAATTCACTTATTTCCACTGGCAGTAAGAAATAATTTCTTATGCATAATTTCTGCCTCTTATTTGAGAAGCTTCCTAGACATTCCAATTTAGGTTCTTGATGAGTTGAGAATAAAAGATTTCCCTATTCTAAACTGAAAGATTAATTACAGAACAAAGACTGCATATGAAGAAAAATAATGTTATTCCTCAGCCCGTACTGACGCTTAGAGAAAGTAATTAGTTAGGAGTCTAATCAAACCCCAAGTAGGGTTTGTAGGGAAGGTTAAACCATCTCAGGTCTTGCTGACACTTTGCTGTTCTGGGTGCTGGAAAGCTTTGATTTAACTGAAACAATCCAAGAACCTGAGAAGATACTCTTCCTGTGACAGCAATCTCCGAATTATCGGAAAGCGTGGTCTAGAGGGACAAGGGGACTTATGGCAGCTGACGAAGTTGTCCTATAAAGCTGCAAGCATGGCAGTGTCATGCAGGACAAGAAGGCAGTGTGTACTCATTGAGCTGATGATGCTCATAAAGGGCTCAACTAATGCAAAGACTAATTTGTTTGGGACTTCCTTACAGGACTGCTTTGCTGGGATATGAAGCCAATCCCAATGACGCTGTGAACATTTCAATGTCTTGATGCTGTTGTTGAGTTACTGACCAATGTGTTGACGTTAAAAAGCCCTTCTGCAGGATCAGGATGGTTGTACTCAAACATTGCATGGCGGACTTCATCGTATCATGCCTGGTCACCCATTTTGGGTCAGGCTGGATGTTGGGAAGATGTTCTTTAAGTGTGGTTGTAGAGTGCAACAGGCATCCTGAAGAGGTGGTTGATGTCCTGTGCCTGTCATTGCCCAAAAGGCGGCTGGATAATGCCCCCAACAATACACTTTATTTGGTTTAGTTACTTTAGAAACTTTAGTTACTTTACTTATTGTTTAGCCCAGAAGTGGTCATGCAGGTGGACTTGGTGATCATCGTAGGGCCTTTTCAACTCAACTATGGGATTCTATTCCACGCTGTTGTTTGACTCAGCCTTTGCTCAAGCTCTGGGGCAAGCCCACCCTTCGAAGCCTCTACCCCTTGTGTGCAGCGCCTCGCCCTTACGGCATGGAGGTCGTGTGAGGCCCTGCCAGACCCCGCCACCACCGCTGGCCGATGGCGACCAGGGTGACACAACCTCCGAGCACCAAGCTGCCGGGAGCTGTCCCCTGAGGCAAGCAAGATGCCGCCAGCCGGGCACATGGCAGCACATGGCGACATGAGGGACCCGCCCGCGCCCCGGCGCTGCCCCTCAGGGCACGCCCTGCCCCGGGAGCCCTCCACCACCGCGGGGGCGAGTCCTGCCCTCGGGGACGAAGCCCCCCTCAGCACTCCGAGGGGTCTCCACCTCGCTCCCCTCATCGAGGAGCACCCGGAGCCCCCCGAGGGCCGCTCGCAGCGGGCTGAGGGCGGTGTTTGGGGCCGCCGCCACGCGTTTCAAACGGGCCAACCGCCGGGCGCGGAGGGAGGGCGGGCCGCGGCGCAGTCCCCGCCTGGGACTTTAAAGCGCCATTTTGTGCCGGGCGGCCGCGATCGATCGGCGCTCCCAGCCGGCGGGCGGGCGGTGGCGGAGGAGCGGCGGGCGCCCGGCTGGCGGAGCGGCGCCCGTCCTCTCTTCGCCTCCCCGCGCCTCCTTCGCGCTCCCCCCCCCCCTCTTTTTTTTTTTTTTTCCTCGCCCCTCCGCCTCCATGACCCGCAGTCGGAAGCAGGCGGCGCTGGAGAGAGGAGCCGGGAGGATGAACCACGAAGCGGGGAGCGCCGCGGAGGGGGCCCGGGAGGAGGTGGCGGTGGAGGCGGCGGCGGGGGCAGCAGCGGCAGCGGCGGCAGCAGCCGATGGTGGCGGAGCGGCGGCGGCCGCTTGGGGGCTGCAAGGGGAGGCGGAGAAAGTTGTGTACTCGCGGTCGCAGGTCTCCTTCGCCGGCACCAAGGCGCTGAGCGACGCCCTGAAGCTCTTCATGCCCAAGTCCACCGAGTTCATGAGCTCCGACTCGGAGCTCTGGAACTTCCTCTGCAGCCTCAAGCACGAGTTCTCCCCGGTCATCCTCCGCAGCAAGGACGTCTACGGCTACGCCTCCTGCCGCGCCGTCGTCCCCGACCCGCCGCCGCCCTCCTCCGAGCGGCCCCGCCGCCGCCCCGGCAAGCGGCGCCTCCCGGCAGCCGCCGCCGCCAAGCGCCGGGCCGTGGCCGCGGGGGGCAGCGCCAAGCGGCGGCGGAGGCGGCGGCGACGCAGGAGGGGACGGGGGTGGCAGCGCCAAGCGGCGGCGGTGCCGGGCGAGAAGGAGGAGAAGGAGGAGGAGGAGGAGGAGGACAGCGAGCGGGGCGCCCCGGCGCAGGGGCCGGCTTGGGAGCCGTTCGGCGGCCGGTCGCTGGAGGAGATCTGGCAGGCGGCCACCCCCCGCCTCACCTCCTTCCCCACCATCCGGGTGCGGGGCAGCGTGTGGAGCCGGCGGAGCCTGGCGGCGGCGCTGCGGCGGGCGCAGCGGATCCTCGGCGTGGACCTGGCCCCCGTGGTGCGGGTGCGCCGCCTGCCCGTGGCGCCGTCGTGAGGCCGCGGCCGCCGCCCGGCTCTGCCCCGCCGCGGACAAAGAGACCGATATCAGTCACCTGTTTACATTGCTTTCGTCTGGATCATGTCCTTCTGCTGCACTTTACGGCTCGCTCGGACTCGGGACGGGGCGCCGGGACCCCCACCACGACCCCCTTTCCTCTTCCCCCCCCCCCCCCCCCCCGGTACCGGGGGCAGCCTGCGGGGCTCCGGCCTCTTGCAGGCTCCGCGCGTGGGGACCAAGTTCCGCTTCCACTTCTCCCCCTTCGGGCTACCTCACTGGTCCAGAAGTCCACCCAAGAAGTTATTTTCCAAAGGAACTTTTCTTTCATGCTTGTATAATAAAGCACCATCCGATTCTCGCTGTCCCCCCCCTCCCTCCCCTTTTCCGACGGATTATGTATGCTTTGTGGTGTTGCACTAGTATGTGCTCAGGGTATTTTGAATCCCAAGCATTCCCAAGTTTCAGTTTACTCTGATCAAGGATGCGTAAAGAATGGAGGTTCAGGACTTGTGGCTGTTCTTGATGGTGCAAAAAAAAAAAAAAAAAAAAAAAAACAACAAAAAAACCTTTTTTTTTTCAATTTCATGGGCTTAGTGATATATAAAGATGTATTGCGCAGTATAATTGTTACACTTTTGTATCTAAAGTCATTTTTAAAGTTTTCTAGTTGAACTAAGTATTTGTTTCTATTGAGCACCTAAAGATAGAATCATCCTGATATTTTATAAACCTGTTTACTTTAGGGAAGCTCATTTGGTCAACCTAAGTGAACTTAATAAAAGGCAAAGAACAAGCGGCGTTTCAGTTCAATGAAACTGGACTGCACAGGGATGGGTTCTTTGGTGGCGTACGCCATGTATGTGCCTGGTGAAGGCACCAGGGGTGTCTCCTGAAAACAAATTTAGGGTTTGTGAAAAATGTAACTACTCATCAAAGCAGTTCCTAGGTGTCTGAAGGTGAACTGTGATACGATGTTGGCATTAACGGCAAAAAAAGGAGTCCTCACATGACCCAAACACCACACTGAAGTGCCTATCTCTGCAGCAAGACTTCAAGCCTGATCGCTTCAGCGCTGGTTGTCAACCTGGAGCTCTAAGATGGTTAGAGGTTGATAATCATATCCATGTAATTACTTGCACATAATTATTTTCATAAACCTCTTCTGGGTTTCACAGTGGACTGTGATACAAGATTCATAACGTAGTTGGACTATTTTGCCTGAAAAACACCATCTTGTCATTCTGTCTCGTGGGCATTCCCTCCTGAATATGATTTTTTAAGGGCTTTCCTTAGGTTTTGCCCAGTGTGGTTGGTGTATGAGAGGCAAAGGTATGGGGGGACTTTTTTTTTCCGAGCTTGGGGAAGAACAAGAAGTGCTTGGTGAGAGAGAGTTTGTGTCCCTAGTATCCTAGCAAACAAGAAACTTCTCAGTTTCCACAGTGGAATGAATGACTTCACAGCTTGTTTATAGAATGGTTTGGTGACTTTAAATTTCTTTTCTGATTGCTATTGACTCCTTGTTGCCTGCTCTTCCTGGAGGTAATAAGACAGCTAGATGTGTAGAGGGTGTTTGCAAAAATTTGCTAATGCTAACCTGAAGCAAACAGCTTCTGAAACCTGTTTATATTACATAGTTCTTACCTAGCAAAGCTGCCAAGTTCTTATTCTTCCAAACTAACAATCTATTCTATAACCATTAGGCTTTTGAAATTGTTTACATAACGTTAGACTGCCTGCTGATTGCTGCAGTAGTGCCACGTCACATTTCAGAAGGGAATTAGGAAATGAAAGTTCAAGGGTGCATATTGTTGAGCTATTTCTCTGGCTATAATACCTGCTCAAATCTAAAAGCAACATTGTGTTGATTTAAAACTCAATATGACATTTTGCAGCATGACCAAATGCCAAGGCTCCAAGTATTTCAGTTTTGACTCTAAAAATGCAACTTAAGAGGGTTGTTGCTAATACTTGAAGTCTGTAGTTGACTTCACTGATGTTCTGCTCCTCCTGTTAGGTCGATTTCTTTAGTATACTTTTGAAAAATCTGTGTAGAGAAATGATAAAATTTAAGCAATTGTCTTGTGCAGATTTTTCACATAACCCATCAACAGGAGTGGGACAGACTGGGTCAAATTTCAGGGGCAGAGTTAAGGCTGCCAGAGGTATGATATGGGAGATACCATATTAAAATTTGTGCTGCCTTGTTTTGAGTGTTGTACTGAAATGTTCTTTGTGGGTACAAAGAAGTGTGAAATATCTCTAGCTCTGTTGAGTGACTCTTCTGGTGCAGGCTGTATGCAGGGGTGCAGTGTGTTTTGCTGGTACCCTGTTAGGAAGTTGGATTAAGATCTGCCAGCTGCACTTAGAGGTTCTCAGCTGAGCTATTTCAGTCTGTGAATTCAGTTGGGGGAGGCGGGGGGCGGATCTTTAGTCAGGTTTTCTGATAAATTAACGTGCTGAAATAGCTCAGCAAAGGGCTGGTTTACAGGAGAGAGTGTGAAAGCTAACAGCTTACAGGAAAGCTAACACGGCTTAAGCTCATGGTTGTATTCATGACAGTTTGTTGCAATCCACTGCAGGATTACCTGTAGTCCGGTTCATCCCCTCTTTTCCCTCTCAAAACAGCAGTCCCTAACTACATCTTTGTCTTTGTGCTCATCTGAAGGAAGCTACTCACTCAGAAACCTGTTCTATTTTAGTTTTGGCCAGGTTGATGGTTGTCAGATTTTTTTGGTCCTCCTAGCTGCCGACCAGAGCTGAGGACCTTCAGAAAGGCATATGCAAAACTGCTGCAATATTGAATTAGACAATTTTAAAGCATAGAAGCCTTAGGTTTTATATCATATGAAGGATTAATAATGTTATTGTACTTTATCTATACAGATGCTGTTGGAGAAAGTGTAATGGATTAGATGGATTTCTGGTCTTACTCGGTGTGGCTGTTCGTATGCACTGTGAGCAGTGTGAAAGGTGTGATTTGCCTTATTTAACTCAGTGGGTTTCATTATCCTTTCATATGGGGATGCTTCTGAGACTGACAAAATGCAGGCCCAGAATAAATCCAGTGTACAATGCCCGTTCAGTCAGCACGGCTGGTTTCATATTAAACAGGAATCTTGTGGTAGCCTCTGTTGCCAGACTTCTGTTGCAGTAGCTGGTTCCCTCCCATATGAGCTCCCCTCATACAATGACTTTGTGTTCTGGAAGTTGTTCTCTTTCCTTTACCAAAATGTGAATTTTTATCCAATCATTCAAAGATTATTGAATTTCAGAATGCCACAGTGCCAGAAAGAGTTGTGTGATGGCCCCAGACATCAAGGAGAGGTTTGAGACAACCATTGTGTCTAACACGTTGCATAGTGTAGGCTTTGGATTCAAGAGGCAGTGCCTTCCTCTGAGTCATTGTGCAAGCACATTGTTCAGGACTGAAGTTTGTAAAAGGAGAAAGCACTGCCTTGCAAAAATTTTTCCCTACCATAATATTGCGTAGAAGTTTTCACATCAAAAGGATCAAACTGTACAACTGGTCCTTGAAACCATCTGTTGCCAGCTTGTAAACAACAAGCGCTGTATCTGCCCAAGCCTCATGCAGAGCATTGTTGTACAGATTTGCCAATGGCAAGACTTGTGGTACTTGGATTTTGCTCTGAACGGGTAGGGCATGTTGTGTGTGTCTATATTTCCTTGCCTACCAAAAGCAAAGGGCAAAGAGAATCTAGTTTGTAGATTTGATTCCTAACAATTTTTCACTTTACTGCTTAGCAAGCCAGAGTCCTGGGCTCTTCACGCTACTTAAAAGAGTTGATTTGTGCTAATTTACAGGTGATTGATGCTGTAGTCTGAGCTCAAAGTTTGCATGCACAGGAAACCAGTAGTACCGAAAACATCTGTATTTCTTTTTGACCCAGTGAACCGGAACATTAAGAACATTTTCTAATTTGTATATATGGATCAAAACCACTGATTTTATGTTGAACAAAATGTGTTGTTTGACTTCAATTGCTGTGTTTTTAATTGTGTTTACAAATACAGGAAATCTGGAAGCAAAGGACTATATTCACAAGAGGTTTTAGACACTACCCACAGAAAGGGTCAATTCACATCAAGTAACATAATAGATAAGGAATCCTGGACTTCTAGAGACCCAAATCCCAATACCCTCTTTGTCTCATTTGGAGGAGGAACTTAGAAATCCTGTGTCCTGAGGACCAGGTTACAGCAGCTTGAAGTATTTCACTCTACGCAATAAATATTCACTGAGCTACAGAAAATTCCCAGATATTGGGGAATTTAGGGTACACCTTGGCTCTTCATCCAGTATTTATTCTAGCTGAGCATAACTACATTAACAGGGAAGAGTGAGGCAGACCATTCCCGAATCTTCTGTGGTAGGACAGTGACTCCAAATGTGCACTGCTCATGACCATTTATTCCCAAACTATCACGAGGCATCCCATATGTACGGTAATAGGACAATACAGGAGCATTCTGGAATATTTCTTATCCCTAATCAAGGTAAAGCCATTTTTCCATTCTGTAAAAATAAAGCATATTTCCTTAAAAGTAGTGTCTAAATATCTTTATGGAACTATGAAAAAGTTCTTTCAGCTCTTTTGTTGTAGCTGCTACTTTCTTAAGAAAAAAAAAAGAGCCAAAAATATTTCCAGGGTTGTTATCAAGAGTAGAGTCTCATTTATCCACTTATTTACTGTGAAACTCCACAGGAAACTGCTGAATAAGTAAGGCTTGACATTATAGGAGATGGAAGAAATGAGCCTTCATTCATGTAGTTCATTTTTGCTCTGACAGGTGTGCAAATTAGCCAAACAGGAAAGTGCGGGGTTCCCTGTGCTCTCCACTGGGATTTAAGAAAGCTTCCTTACCAGTTCTCTTTCAGACTCCTTATTTCAGATTATAGAAGATGAGGCTCAATAGTCTTGAAGTTAAAATGCTGCCAACAGGAAAACCTTGTCCCTTGCACTGCTCTGATCATTCTGTTGGTTTTTTGTTGTTGTTGTTGTTGTTGTTGTTGTTTTTGTTTTGTTTTGTTTTGTTTTGTTTTGTTTTTTGTTTTTTTGTTTTTTGTTTTTTTCCCCACTGCTTCTTCAGGAATGCAGGCAGTCTGTACCCACCCTCTTTTTGTAGGCTGGTTTAGAGGAGAGAGACTGAATTGAACAGTTCAAAGGAGATGGGAGATGAAATACATACACTGAAAGACAGCTTTTTATTTTTTTGGTGTTTTAGTGTCTTGTGTTTAGTTGGCTACTTCTTCCCACCTTCACTCTTTACTCTCCCTTCAGCCATCTCTTTGCTTGTGCAACTGGTTACTCTGCCTTCAGCCATCTCTAATTACCCATTGCTTTGCTTGTGCAACTGAGCTGCTTATTTGTCAGCTTATGTTTGGTCTGTGCCAAATCAGCTTGCTATAGAATGACCTGTGAAGATAGGACATGCTTACAAGCATATATACTGGTAACAGGTATTATCCTTGCCTCGTATTTGGACAGCACTGGACCGTAGTCAAAATACCAGATGCTGTTTCCAATGGATGGTATTTCCTGGATGAGAGGTAAGAAACTGAACTGAAAGAACCTGATGTGATGATTCTTTGTGGTTGAGGGTGCGTGTTCCAAGATGACTTTTTGAAAAGGACGGAAAGTTTCTTTCCATGTACCCATAAATACATATACTTAAACACTAAGATGAAGGTGCTATGTTATTTTTTTATTTTTTTATTTTTTTTTCTCCACTTGAGCAGTTGCAATAACAACCGCCCACTTTGTTCATCCCAGGG